AAAAAAAAAAAAAAAAAAGAGAAAGAGAGAAAAAAAAAAAAAGAGAGAGAGACTCTTATCTGCAGTTAGACATGTATTTTTTCGTTCTCCTTTTCATTTTTCCATGTTTTCTTTACAGTGTCTTTTATTCTGCGGTGTTCACACTTTGCACACGTCTCCTGTTTTGCGTCCTCCAGGCCGGCCGTTGCTGTTCACTGCACATGGCGAAGGAGATGGCTGCAATATCGACCCTGCCTTGGAAACACCCACACAATGCAGAGAAGCAACTCTTCTTTCATCACGCAACCGTGCACAACGATACAGAGAAGTCCTCGTGCTTCAGAAACTCAATGCAGATCCCTTCTTATTATCTTCATTTTTTTCCAGGCTGCGACCACTCCCTGTCATCCAGCTGCGAAAGAGCTTAGAACACACAAAAATGAATGCACTGAAAAACATCCAAAACGACGGAAACATCATCGTCAGCCCGACACCGCGGGCAATCAAGTTTTGGTAGATGCTGCACAACTCCTCAATAAATCTGATCCGCCTGATTGTGGCGTACTTGACCTGAACACGACAATCAAACCACCTCCAACCGAAGCTCAAGAAAATGTCCGCCCATCCTCTCTTGATCTCCCCCATCAGTCCAGATAGCGAAGTGCATCGTGCAACACCGTTAATTCACAACCAGGAACGAGGTAAGCTACAACCTTCCTGCTCATACAGTCGAAGCAGGTCTTAACCGTGTTCAGCGATGCCTGGGGTTTGTAACACGCGTTTACCTTTGATGGTCCTGACTGCTCTGCCTTCCCAACGACGAGCGATGACCACCACATAGGAATGGGTGGGCTTGGTGGTTGAGGTGGCCATGATTCCGGGGATCTCGGCTATCCGGCTACTCGTCCCTGGGAAACAAGGTTCCTCGGTTGGTCTATATTGCTTCTTCTTGAGAACTGAGAGGGAAGGGTCGCCGAGCGCGGTCCTATTGACCCCGGCTTTTGCGTGGTATGACTTGGCGCTCGTTTTGGACCACGAGGAGCGGGAGCGGCATCAAGTGGTCACACCATTATCAGCCCCACTACAAGTGCTGAGAGATATTGGCTGTCGCATGCCGGTCGCCACTAAACGCATCTCCCATGTGAGATTCTAGTTGCACACGGATGAATGGTTGTATGGTCTGCGACGTAGAGTTCAGCCGCCGAGGCGTGCGACCTGGGGATCCTCGTCGCAGTCAAACAGGCAAAGTAATCCAGTGGTCCCATGGAGGAAATCAAGGGTCACGGTGCGGGTATCACGTTCAGAGCACTCCCGGGCAAGCAGGCGCTCCACGGGGTAGCTGGTAGTCTTCTTTGAGCTCCGTGACATAAATGTGATGATGTCTTAGTCATCATGACTAGCTGGTCGTTTGCATGCTTAAAGTAGGGTCATTAAACGTTCGAGGTTTGGGTGTAAGGTCAGTCAGGTCTAAGGCTAGGGAGATGAGACGGATAGTAGATAAGGTCAAATTGTCGATAGTATGTATGCAGGAAATGAAAATCTATGAGTCAAGATTGCGGGGGGACCGGCTATACCTCCCGGAATTTGGGTTTGGAGGTTCCTTCCAGTTATGGACCCCAACGGAGGGAACTAAAGGGGGGGTGGCTATCATCCTTACTCGGTTCTTCACGGGAAAAGTGCTTGATTACTTTTTGGACTCCCGGGGCTTTTGGGCCTGGATATACATAGATGATGGGGGGAAAAGACTCTTGCTAGTCATTGTGTATGGCCCGGTGGAGGTTACAGACCGTAAGTGGTTTTGGAGGGATTTTGAGGCCTGTATTCCACAAACTGAGAACACGCTTATGATCGGGGACTTCAATATGATCATTCGCCCGGGGAGGGACTCGGTCATGCTAGGTGACCCGAGGCCGGATGTTGATGCGCTATGTGACTCAATGGTTGGTATGGCTTTCGTAGACATATTCTGCAGACGGTGCCCCGACGAATGCGGTTTTACCTCGTTTGGCACGTCACCACGCCTAAGGAGTAGACTAGACATGGCCTGGATTTCGGCCGACTTGCTGCCTAGTGTACATAAGTTTACGAATTGGTAGCGACGTCTGACCATGCACTCATCTCGGTCTCTCTGGCCCTGCATCCCCAAGTGGTCAAAAGACCTCCGCCAATGACGGTGTTAGCGTGACTATTGTCACACAAACTGAATAGAGAGTTGGTAAGGCAGCACTGGGAGTACTGGCTTCAGGCACAATCCGATCATACGTGGTTGTTGGAACACTTGCTCTAGGGTAACCAGTACATCACCGAAATCATGAGGAACAGAGCGAAGGCGTCGAGACAGGCTCACGATCAAACAGGGCAGGAGTATCTTTGGCATATGGAAGAATTGGGGGAGAATCCGTCGCTGGATCAGGAGGACGATTGGTGGGCGGAATGGGTTTTCTTGCACTCAGAATGAGCGAGTTGGCAGGCACGGGGTGCGGAGCTATGAGGTCAGAGCTCTAAAGCAAAGTTGGTTAGAGATGCTGAGCGCATGTCAAAAGTTTTTTTCGCTCAGCTAAAAACGTTGCGCCACTCGCCCTTGATTTGGCCATGGGTCACCCCTTCGATCCCCTCCAGCCCAAGGCGGATAACATTTTTGAGATTTTGAGGTATATGGGAATGTTCTACGAGAACTTGTACAACAGGGATGAGGCTTGGACACCAGAGGACATGTGTGAGCAGCCAATGAAGGACGTTTATAATAAGTGTCCCTCTCTCCTTTCCGCGGAACAGAGAGAGGCATTAGATGCGTCAATAGCTCAGGGGGAGTTGATCGGAGCTTTGGCAGGAATGTGTAGGGGTAAGGCACCAGGCCCGGATGGGTTGCCAGCGGAATTCTTGCTAGAAGCGGCACCAATCCTCCTCCTGGTATTATGTGACGCTTTCAATCAGTTGTTTTTAGGTAAGGAGAGAGTTCCACTCAAGTTTGGTCATGCAAACATCATCCTGTTATATAAAAAGGGGCAAATTGAAGACATCAGAAACTGGAGGCCGATCTCCTTGCTATCTGCACCATATAAGCTCTACGCGAAGGTCCTGGCTAATAGAATTAACGGAGTCCTACCGAAGCTTATCTACTCCACCCAAACAGGATTTGTCCCTCGTAGACAGATCTTAGAGAATGTTCTTCTTGTCTGACAAGTCATGGAGAGAATGCAATCAGTCCAGCCCCCTTTGGCTATGCTTTTCCTAGACTTTGAGAAAACTTACGATAGAGTTAGGTGGCCCTTTCTTCTTCAAGGGATGCAATGTAGAGGGTTTGGAGAGGTTTTTGTGAATGCGGTCCAAATGCTTTTGGGAATGGCAATGACCAGAGTCCAGATTAATGGTTTCTTCTCCCCTCCCCTTAGGATTACTCGCTCTGTTCGGCAAGGGTG